GGTTCATCCCGCAGCCGGTAAGTGCCGCGGGGCAGGGGGGACAGAACCGAACCGCAGGGGGGTCCAACCAGCAGGGCCAGATCGGGTCCAAGCGGGGCGGGATGAACCCAAAAGGGTCCGGAGAAAACGGGTGGGATCAGAGCGGGCAGCATCAGCACCGGGAGCGAATGGAGCTGGAGCGGCCAGACGGGATCAAAGCGAACTGGATCGGAGCAAACCGAAACCATTCCCGATCAAAAGCACCAGGACAGGGTCAGATCCGAACGGGGCTTTGCTTGGACTTTGTGCAATGCCAGCAGGTGCTGGGGAGGGACACAGGGTGCTGGGCACCTCCACGGATGTTTGGGGGCTTTTTGGGGTGCATACAAATTTTTTGGGGAGCAGCGTGTGTATATAGAGAGATACAGATATATACACACCTCTATATACTATATACACCTCTACATTACATGCCTCTATATTAAAGAGGTATGCGTATGTGTAAACACGTATATATATATGCACGTGGGGGAGATTTGCGTGTATTTGTGATGATGAGTATGTGTGCGACGGATGTACACGTATGGTTTATATACGTGCCTGTGGTGTACGTGAGTGTATAGGTGTTTGGAGCTCTCTGCCTGCTCTGAGCCCGGAGAAGTCCCGTGGCAGCGAGTGCAGTGCCTGGGCAAGGAGCTCTTCCGGCTGCTGCTTTCCCTCCGGAGCTGGCAAATTCCCAGCAGAGGCCGAGAGAAGCTCGTTACGGGATTAAATCCTGCCCTTCCTGGCTCCCGGCCCCGCAGGAAGGATGCGGATGGGCTCAGACGGTCGTTCGGGAGAGCTCCCAACCCCTTCCCACCAGCTCCTTTTTCGGGAAAGGGCCCTCCCCGTGTCATAATCCCAAGCTCCGGAGGCTCCGAATTTCTAACACCTGCTAAACAAAGCGCACGGGGAGGCCGGTTTCTCTGTCAGACCAGAAAGTCTGGCTCTCCGGGCAGCCCCGAGCCGTATCTTTTCCCCCTTCTCCGATGGCCTTTCCCAACCCACCTAGCTAATCCCCGCTCCAGCACCTTTGCCTGCAGCACAACCGGAGCTCCAGAGTAGGTTTTCAGGGGATCACGGAGCATCTCTTGGCACCAATAGGGTGATTCCCCCCACCTTTTTTCCCCAGTGCAAGGAAATGCCCCAAGGGGAGCATTCCCAGTAGGGATAAGCAGAGCAGGGCAGCCTGCGGCTCCTAAAGCGTGTGTTCCCGGTGTATCCGGGCGCTGCCGGTGCGATGCTCCGGGCAGTCTCCGCCTGGACTTCGGGGGAAAGCTGCGGTTTTGGCATGCGGTGGCGGGCAGCAGGCGCCAGAGAGACCCCCCCCGCCCGCTCTCCCCCCCGGGGGCAAACGTGCTGACCCGGCGCTTTCGCTTCCGCCAGAAAGGAGAACCGGTCGGGAGGAGAGTTTTTTTGTTTTTTTTTTTTTCCTTTTTTCCACCCCTCCATGCTAAGAAAATCTGCTGCTTTAAACATCCCTTCGAAGTGAACCAGTTTTGGGGGCAATTTCAGCCTTTTTCCTTACTTCGGTCCTCCCTGAGCGCAGCCCCGATGTGTCCCGGCTTCCGCATGGGTTTGCGCAGGGAGAACGCGGCTCCTCGCGGCGACCGGGCGCCTTTTCTCCTCCTTGTCCCAAGCGCTGGAGGGTTTTGAGGGGGGTTCCTGCAGGGTGCACATCTGGGTGCCTGCGTGTGCACTGGCATGTGCATTGACGTGTCTGCAGGCATGTGCATTAGTGTGCACATGCGTGTGCATTGCACTTTGCATGCGTGTGCGCTGGCATGTGCATTCTGGTGTGTATTGGCTTGTGCATGTGTGTGCATTGGCATGTGTTTCTCTGCAAGTGTGTGCCTTGACATGTGCACTGGTGTGTGCACACATGTGTATTGGCATGTGCATTGGTGCATGCATTGGCATGTGCATGCATGTTCACTGGCATGTGCGTTAGCACGTGCATTGGTATGTGTATGTATGTGTGCATTGGTGTGTGCATTGGCATGTGCATGTATGTGCATTGGCGTGTGTAAGTGTGTGTACATGAGCATTGGCATGTGCACACGTGTGCACTGGAATGTGCATTGGCTTGTGCATGCATATGCATTGGTGGGTGCCTGCGTGTGCATAGGTGTGGTCATTGGCATGTGCATGTATGTGCATCAGCAGGTGCATTGGCATGTGCATGTATGTGCATTGGCGTGTGTAAGTGTGTGTACATGAGCATTGGCATGTGCACACGTGTGCACTGGGATGTGCATTGGCTTGTGCATGCATATGCATTGGTGTGTGCCTGCATGTGCATAGGTGTGTGCATTGGCATGTGCATGTATGTGTGTATTGGTGTGTGCATTGGCATGTGCATGTATGTGCATCAGCATGTGCATTGGTGTGTGTAAGTGTGTGTACATTAGCATTGGCATGTGCACACGTGTGCACTGGGATGTGCATTGGCTTGTGCATGCATATGCATTGGTGTGTGCCTGCATGTGCATTGGCATGTGCATTAGTATGTGCATGTGTGTGCACTGCTGTGTACATTGGCCTGTGCATACATGTGTGTGCACACACGTGCATGTGTGTTGGGTCCCAGTGCACGTGTGAGCACACATGTGTGTGAGCTGTTTGCACACATGCATGCACACACGGTGGGATGTGCACACACATGGGTCCATGCACGTGCATGTGCGTCAGCGTGAGCACGTCTCAGCGCAGGTGTGGGCAAGCGTGTGTGTTGGCATGCACACGTATACGGATCCATGTGCACACACGTGCAAGCGTGTTGGTGCGTGCACATTTGTGGGTCCCTGTGCATGCGTGTGCACACATGTGCTGACATGTGCATGCCTGTGGGCCCACGCATGCGCGTTCCTCATGCCACACGTGTGCCGGGACGCGTGGCAGTTGGCCCCGGACAGGGTTTCTGTTCCCCATT